ACGTCCTCCTCAGACTCTAGAAGCACTTCGAGAGGAGTTGGTGGTTGCCTGGAATGAGATACCACAGGAGGACATTGACCACCTGATCAGAAGCATGCCTAGGCGCGTTGGAGAATTCGTAGCACATCAGGGTGCTTCCACACATTAAAGGTCAAAGGGCTTTAAAGCAGTGCAATCATTTTGAAATTTTTATCATTTACTTATTATGCTTCATTAAGTACTTATACAAAATTTTATTAAAATAAAACCATTTAAACTGGGTGTTCGGATTTATATGTCACTTAGTATATATAGAGAGAGCGTCATAGTCGGTGGAAAGCATCACGTTTTACGCACTACATTATGCCAAACAGCATATCATACAACAATGCGTACATAACTTTGAAAGGGTCAAGTTAGTATGGTATGGTTGAAACTCGGAGTGATGAAAGTGACGTGACAGTCGAATATTTCAAGTTGGTGGCTTGGCGCCATTTTGAGTTTAATGTACAAAAATGTTCCACTTTGACAGCCTACCTGTAAGCCATTTTGAAAGATAGTGATTTTATATTACAGGGCTATGAAGTACGCATAAGGAGCTTCAAAATAAGATATCATATGACTCCCATTCCATTAAAAAAAATGTTACAGTATCCACCATCTCAAAATGTTCATATATTATTTTGACTTCAAAATATATGGTGTCATACGTCAATTTCATCACCCCGAATTTTAGCTTGCTAACTTGACATGTTCAAAAAATAAGGAGGGGGTTCTGAAAAGCACCATATGTATGCCAGTGTATATCTGAGATAAATGCTAGATTCATTCCATCATAAGGGATATCTTAATTTTTGTTCTGCCTCACAGAAAATTCACGTTGCACCAATGATTATTTTCATGAAATTGAAAATATTACGAATTTTGTCTTGAATACGATGAACAATAAAATAGTACATTAAGAAAATGTTACTCCTACAGAAAAGTTTTTGAAAATGTTCATATGGAGGCGTCAAAAACTCTGCCGTCGCTGCAGTGACTCCTAAAAAGCTTCTAGGTCCTTGCCATTATAGTAATGTTTTGCCCAGAGGCGAATCTAGAATCTCTGGAGCCCAAAGCACAAGGTTCGTATGGGGCCATGTGTAGTAGAAAAACGTGAGGAATGGTTAGATTGTGATTATTTTTTAAGCATAAATAATTTTATCGGCTCTGGGGCCTCATAAACGGTGTTCTGTGGCCCCTTCAGTCCCCGGGCCCGACGCAAATGTCTGGTGTGCGTCATCTTATATCCGCCCCTACTGCTGTCAAAATTAAATCAAAATATGAGAAGTTATATTTATAGTAACCAAGGGATTAGGAATTACTAGTTCAATGTTAATGGACGGATATATTCAAAACCGACTGAAAACGTACGTGTTTCCAGTCCACCACTAAAGTTCAAGAACTGCTTGCGAATGATAACTTTGCGAATGATAACTTTGCGACTGCAGAGCCGCAAAATAGCAAAAATTCACTACTGGATGTCATCAAATATTAGTTAAGACTACATGGGTTCCAAGGTTCTCATCAATTTCACAACTAGGATATAGAAAAAGGAAAACTTCCAAATAATTTGCCATCCGATCGCAAATTGCGACCCTCAAAGTATTACTCCACTTTGCATCACGTGGATCAACAACGTAATTCTTGAGCCCCCTATTCTCCGTAACTAACGGAGCGTTCTTTTTTCGATAAAGGAGAACGAAGGATTGTCTTGTTACTGAGCAAAATTGAATTAAGGAAGATCATAACCAAGCAGTAAAACGAGAGCACTAAAAACTCTATTAAAGGCGCAACACTTCTATAACTCAATGTACCCCCCCCCCCCCCCCAAGCATCTAAGTATATTTATTAAATACATTTTTTCGATATTTACTCACGACAGATGCATCGTGCGTATCAGACCTTTCTTTGAACAAAAAGTAATAACATTTATCTATTTCTCTCGCTCTATTTTCCCCAATGGATGTTTCCTGTTGAAAATCAATAAAAATACACTTACGTAACGATTCAAAATAACAATTGTTAAAGAATATTTCAAAAAAGCCAGGTATAACCCTGACCAATCCTACGATACGCACATGAACTTGATTCAGTCTACAAGTCTGGGCGGAAGAGATGAAATGAATCATGGTAAATTTCAAGGTTAGGAAAACCCCCAAAGTTCAGCGGCAACAAAAACAAGGGCCTGTCGAAATGAGCGAAGAGAAGACTAGTCAAGTATACTTATGTAATTTCTAGAAACAGGTAGGTTACACCGTTGTCACTGCACATTTTATGCAATAACTGGCACCAACAAATACAAAAATATGTGAAATATTTCATCGGGATGTTGCACATGTTATACCTGATTATTTATAGTTGGACCAGCGAAAGATTGCAAGCCGAAAGAATGCGGACAAAAAATTGCGAAGTTGTCAGATGTTCTACATAAAATGCGGTCCATACATATTAACATATTTAAGATATAGAATTGTTCCGCTGAATTTGGCAATGTAGCTGGAAAACCCAGGCCGCAGGTAAACATCCGGTCGCTGATTGGTCCAAAACTCTTATCTTATCTGAAACTAGAATAACGTGCCGATGGCACGGTCATTTATAAACCTACTCCCATAGGCGTAGGCAGTTGGCAAATACTTTGAAAATATAATTTACTGTTTAGTGGTGATAATGGAATTCAAGCATGGGAAAGTTATTCACAGCCAGGCAAGGGAAATAATAGCAAACGTGATACGTGCTTGCGATGCAGAAGCGGCTAACAATACTTTCGTTTATCCACTGGTAGCTAGAAATGCAAGGGCGGCATATTATACGGGTGTTAGTGAACGAACTATAAGTAAAATTAGAAAAGAAGATAAAGACAGGCAAAATGCAACCTCCACACAGCCTTTAGCTTCTCCCGGAAAAAAGAGATCACGCCCTTCTGTGATCCAAAAAATTGATGGAGTCGATTTTTCCATTATTCGGAGAATGATAGAAAAATTTTACTGTGATTTTAAAGTGGTACCTACTTGTAGTAAACTTCTAATCAAACTGAAGGAAGAAATGGAATTTCCATTTGGTAAAGAATCGTTGAGGCTGCTTTTAAAAGCAAAAGGATTTTACTGGCGTAAATGCCACAACAAAAGGAAATTACTAATGGAAAGACCCAGTATTTTACATTGGCGATACAAGTATCTTAGGTCTATTAAAAAGTTCCGGGAAGAAGGAAGGCATATTATTTATTTGGACGAAACTTGGGTTGATAATGACCTCACTTTCAAGAAATGCTGGCAAAGCGAAGAAATTATGGGTGTCCTGAGCAATATAAGTTCTACAGGTAATAAAGTTTCTTTCACCTCGATTTTGCTTATTATACATTTTTCTCAATTTTGGAATATTCTTAATAAGTGCTCATTTAATTTGTCTAATTGAATACATAATCCCTTGCAAGTATTTTTTTCTCAAAAATATGTTTTTTATACATAGTGATTCAAAAAGGTGTTGGCAAACTTAAAATAACACTAAAATGAGGCTATTTATTCATTTCCAGGACGACTTATAATTGTTCATGCGGGTTCGCAAGATGGTTTTGTTCCTGGAGCCTGTCTCATTTTCAAGGCTGGCTGTGCCACTGGTGATTATCACGGTCAAATGAACCAAGAAAATTTCACGAAGTGGCTTACTGAAAAACTATTTCCTAACATTCCTCCTAATAGTATTATAATAATGGATAATGCACCTTACCATTCAGCTTTGGAAGACAAGCCTCCAACTAGATCTTCTCTAAAAAGAGACATCATCACGTGGTTGAGCAAAAAAGGTATAGAGCATGATCCTAATGCTAAAAAAATGGAGCTTTATGAAATAGCTTGTCTACATAGGCCACCATCTGATGAGAAAAATTATAAGATAGATAATTTAATAAGAAGTTTCGGACACACCCCACTTCGAACGCCACCCTATATGTGTCAGTTTAATCCCATAGAGATGATTTGGGCACAAGTAAAATTTTTCATTAGAAGCCATAATACAAGCGGCGAATTTACTATAAAAAAACTAGATGAAATTTCTAATAAGGCCATCGCTTCAGTAAGTGCCAGTGACTGGCAAAAGGTTATTGGACATGTTATAAAAATTGAAGATGAATATTGGGAAAAAGACAGTCTCATTCAAGAAATACAGGAAGAAATAATAATCAACATAGGAGGTGAAAGTGATAGCAATGACAGTTCCTCAGACAGTGATCATGACTCTAATCAGGATTGAAACTATACTAGATTGGCTACCTTTTAGAATTTTTAGATATTCATTTATTATACTATTGGTTTGTGGCTTTTAGTATCTCAGTAGAAAGTCTAATTCTATGTGTTGTTTATGGGTTATTTCATCAAGAAATTACTTTTTGTTTTCCTATATTTTTCTATTCAGTCAGATATTTTTGACTTGTTGTATTCTATTTTAGAAGAATGCATAATTTGTTTTGCTGTTCAATCATAATGCGTACATAGGAATATTACTTGTTGCCTAAAAAATATATTTATTTTGTTCTCAATATTCAGTGTTTGTGTATATTTATTTCTTATAATGTATGTTTGGTATCACGTCATTATGAATCGCAAAAAAATATTAATACTACCAGTTGTAATAAAATATAAATTCAATTAATAATTCAAGTCTCTCCGATCTCCGCCTATGACTCCATATAAAATCGTCTAATGGTAAGGTTTTTTCATCGCATTTCCCCCTTTCGTCCCTAGCAATCTTTGGCTGGTCGATCAATAATGGTCTATTCGCATAAAAATACAAAAGTTTGTAAGGAGCATAAATAACGGTTTCATCTTTATTTGAAGGCCAGGTTGAAAAACTATTTCTCTTCCTTATTTTTGGGATCTATTGATCTGTGTCTTGGCACTAGTAGAATACACATCAAATAAAGTTTGGTGACATAATAGGTCCTATATCAATTATTATCCAGGAAGAATATCTGGTTATTTACTTACATGATAGATCGAGGCACTATTCCAAACATTTTCTGATTTTGTAGAGCTACCCAAACAGCTGATTCCCTTCTATTTCACGCACACAACAAACTGCACGACCCCGGTCATTAAATACGATTGCGCAAAAATTGCCTGCGTCTCTGTTTTCAGCACCTTTTGCATAAAATGTCACAAGCAAGGAAGCGAAGTTGTCAAATCAAGATGTAGATTTTCCAACTTATATTGAATTCAAATTACCAAGCCATGCATTAGACACCTTCGCACACAGAAGATCGCAACTCGGACCATTATTGACTTATTTTGAATTTAAAAGCGCAAAACTGCCGCACTTATGCAAGTACAAATGTTTACAGAAGTTTAATTCGTCAAATACCAGAAACTATTTTCAATATGACAACATGCAATTTAAAGTGACAAATTTCATATATCGTGCTACCTATTGTCCAAAAATGTAACTAAATCGAATTAGTATAGTTTATATAGCAAAGATGGCGCCAACTGTAGGCTATCACCGTCATCTAGCGGTTAGAAATTAGACTATCAATGACCCAGTAACATTAGATATAAAAATATTACAGTTTTGGCACCTTATAAAACACGCTTTGAAAGCGATCCGACGATAATTAAGCGATGTACTTCATAACCGCTGAACTGTCAAGTATTAAGGTCGTGCGACACTAAACGCACGTTTAACGAATTTCTTCATAACGTAAACATATATCACTGGGATATAAAAAGACGCACTTTATAGGAAACTGCAGGAAGAGTAAAGTACAAAATTGAGTAGTTCAGAATAGTAGCCACAGATAGCGACGCCATAGACATTTATCGTGACAGAAACATATAAATTTAACCAGCCTTTTACATAGTTAAGAGGAAAACGAATAGATGACACGGCCGTAAACTATAGAAACTTGCCATACATGCTTGCATGCATCGTAATTAACTATAAAATAAATAGATGGCAGTAAAATAATAATAAAATAATATGTTTATATTTTATTTGACAACAAAATTGTAGGTTATAATTCATAGTTGACCAAGAAAGCAAAGCAATGTATGAACATTTTATACTTGACGCTATTTTCTTTCCACTTATGTTTCTGAAACATACTTTACCTAGATATTCTTAACATTTTTGGTTGGCCCTTGTTAAATTCTGAAGTCCTAGGCAAATCAGAGTTTACTCTGTCTCTATGCTCCGGTATCAATATGGAAGAAAGTACCATAACACATCGTATATTTTTTTTGTGCGGTCCAGCAGTGTACCAATTAGAAACTGTAGTACCAGAGTACCTGCATGTACTAAGTGATAAGGGGTGGGTTTTGAAGTGTGTTCCATTTGACCCGTCGATACCGTTTTAGTGAAGTAGGAAGTTTTGAAAGATCAAAATAAATGTGGTAAATATTTTAAAATGCTGCCTGTGAATAAATATTTTCCATTAATAAATCAATTTGTGTTCCAAACCTTGCTTTTAATCAAGAGACAATCCTGTCAGAAATAAGAGAGACAAAAAAGTATTAAGTAGTAGGTAGTCCTTCAGTTAGTTATCCAGAAGAAAACACCACAGTTAATGTGGATCCTGCCATATTCAAGCAGAGTACAATGTATTATGCTACCCTCTTCCAGTTTGGTACCAGACAAAATAGATTATACTTCTAGTATAATGAGTTACATATATTTGGTTTAACTCCAAAATATCATTAGTATGTAATTTAAGAATATTTTCATGTAAGATTTCTGCCAATGAAGTTTTGCAGCATCCTCTTGCAAATGCATTTAAAGACTTGTTACGACAATATGCCTGAACCACAACATGTACATATAGATGGATTTGACAAAACTATTTGTTCTTCCAGATGTCAGATGAGGAGCAACAGGAAGATCAAAAGCCATTTGCAGTTGAAGTAGCAAAAAATGGCAGAGCAGCTTGTAAAAAATGTAAAGAAAAATGTAATACAGGAGCAGTAAGGATTGCCAAACTCATGTTCAACCCTTTTGGAGGGGCTGGAAAAATGAAAGCTTGGCATCATGTTGATTGTCTTTTTGAGGTATATACAGAAAATTATTTGAAAGAGAAATGTGTAACTTGGTCTTTTGACAATTATTAAAAAGGTCAAATTAGAGAGAATTCAATTTTAGGATTATTAAATTATGTTATCCTTGTGTCCCCAATCACCCCCTCACCCTATTAGATCTTAGAAAATTTCTAGTACTATGTGAAACTCAAAATTAGTAGTTTTTGCATAGAATCGATTGAGGGTGTTTTCATTTAAAAAGGCCTATGTATTTTGTAAGTACTTATTTTGACAAGATGTTACATTGCTATAACTTTTGGATAGATAAACTTGAAAATATCTCCAGTGACGATTACTAAAATACCTACATTTCAAGGAAAATGGTTACCCGCCAATTGGCTTCCCTCAAGAAATTTTAGAAGCCTTTGAACTAGAAAGTTTCAGGGAAAGGCATGATAAGTGCTGCATTAATTTTGTGCATAGTATATTGCATAATTATATAGTTTGCTGCCATACCTATATTGCATAAATTTAATCTTCTTATTCCACCTTTAAATTATAGACAATTTGATACTTTTTATTTGCCTGTCCCTAGAACAAACAGCGTAAAGTTTTCTCCACCATTTTAATCTTGTGGTAGAGTTAATGATGTTGCAGAACAGTTGGATGTATTTCTGTGAGGATTTGTCCATCTTTTTTGCTTTCTTATCTGATATTTGTACATATTTGTAAATAGCACCTTTGAGTTCGAACTACCGATTTTTGCGTGTACTATAAAATAATTGGTTTTTTTTTGACCTGTCTGTATCCTACTCTGTAAATGGCTGTTGCTGTTGAGTAGTGTATAAATAAATAAATTTCAAATTCATGTGAAAAACTTTTAAGAGGTATCAAAAAGGTCATGCTGAAACCCAGTGCATCATGCTATGAGTTCCAACAGAATGTTTTATTTCTCCTTATAGGCATTTCTCAAACAGCGCCAAACAACTAAAAGAATAGAAAGCCCTGATGACATTGATGGATGGGACACAATTAGCAAGGAGGATCAAAAACATATTTTACAAAAAATTGATGAGACTGATGAAGCATTTATTAAAAAACATGGAGGGAGCACCGTGAAGAAATCCCCAAAGAAACAACCAAATACCTCTCCTTCCAGTTCAAAAGCATCTAATACTACTCGCAATATGGTTGAGAAGAGTGAAGAGAAAATAAAAGATGAACCAGACAAATCGGAAAAACCTACAGAACCTAACAAAGATGATCTGTTCAAGGAATTCAGAAGACTGGTTGCAGATATCACGAATGTATCTAGCTACCTTGAGAAAACAGAATGTGTTAAAGACATGTTTACAAAAGGTATAGTATTTACCATTTTATTTATTTACAGTTAAATTGTGTGAATCACAGTGATAGCAGAAGCTTGGCATTGTTCTCTAGTAATTACACCTTCCCATGATTAGTTCTTATGGTTGACTTAGCTGACTTTTGGAAAAAGTATCTATTAAATGACTACTAGCATTGATTATCATAATCTCTAAGAAAATGCCTGACCCTATGTTGTTTTTGGAAATTTCCTTTGACATGCCATGTTGCTGAGTGCGACCACAGTAATTCTCCTAAAAGTAATGAAACATGCACCTTGTTCATTTAAAAAAAAATTGTTTATTCTTAAACATGACATCAATCTTCTAGGGAAAGGTCGCCCCTCAACCTTCATGGTCATTATTACCAAGATTATGTATTATCGGAGGTTCTCAATGATAGAAAAAAAAATTCGACACCTAAAGAATTCGAAAAGATTAGGAGCCAAGCTTATATGTTTACATTGCATTCTCTTTCACAAAAATCATTGAGTTTGATTCATTTGAATACCAATGCCTACCATAGTGATGGCATTGTATCAACATAATAATAATACTGGTTGAAACATCTACCTTCATTGGGCTTTTGCTGCTCTTTGCAAATTTTATAAGAAGTACCATGTCTTGAAATCGTCTAACACTACAATTAACTGTAAACGCTTTTAGAAAATAACACTAAAAATACGAATTCAAACACAGAACTGTCCAAAAATTGACTTGTACCAAGTGCACTTGTATTATGTGCTTTGATCCTCACTAGAGACTATGAGAATTAAGAGACAAACCCTTGTCTAGCTCTTACCCAGTCTGAATTCGTTGGTCGACACGTCTATAGTTGTAAGCATAAGTGGTTGGGGGGTGCCATGGTATTTATGCTTCTGGTAATCAATACTACTGGCTAAAGTCATATAGGGTACAGATTTTATTTATTTTCATACGCTCCAGGAACCAATGGAAAGCAGTTCAAGGGTACCATTGGTTTATGGTGCCGACTACTTCTACCCGGCTTCGTGAAGCGAGTGTACAACTTAAAAAACAAGCAGCTGGTGAAACTGTTCAGTAGAATATTTGGTGCCGACCAAGATGAAATGGTTGAAGACTTGGAAAAAGGAGACATTGGAGAGACTATACAAACGTTCTATGAGGGCAGTGCCAAAGTGAAGCCTGCTAAGAAAAGCGATTTGACGATAAGAGAAGTCGACGAATTTTTGGAACGGCTAACGTTGTTAACAAAGGAGGATGATCAGATAGATCATTTTAAATCCATATTACCAAAATGTACTTCTAATGATCTGAAAGCTATCATAAGGCTAATAAAAGGTAATTGTCTCAAGGGATTGATCGTGATTATGAAGTCGAATCTATACTGTTCTCGAATGGTATTTACGCCACGTCAAAACAAACACAGTTTCTCGGTCGGTCAGTTTTCGCGCGACTATAGACCAGTTTGCTAAGTATCGCACAATAAGCCAATCTGAGCGCGAGAATTGCGTGAAAGGGTAGCCGTGTTTATTTTGACCTGAAGTAAATGTCATTTGATTACAGTATATATACCTATACCTAGTTGTAAGAGCCTGTGCTTTTCCGTTTATGCCATCATCCTCAAGCAAAATTTCCCTCTTCTGCTTTCTTTCAAAATAACTGATTCTTTATTTTAGGTGATCTGAGAATGGGAGCAGGAGCGAAACATATTTTGGATGGAGTACATCCAGATGCGTACGAAGCTTATCAGGCTTCAAGAAACCTAGATGCAGTCATGGAGAAATGTTTGAAAAATGATGGAAAGACAAGAAGTAAAAACGTGAAAGCAGATATTACTCTGATGACTCCTGTTTTACCAATGTTGGCAGAGGCTTGTAAATCTGTGGAATATGCTTTCAAAAAATGTCCTGCAGGTGAATATATTGCTAGTTAGGTTGAGAAATAAGAGTATTCTGAAAAATTTGTTCACTGCAAAATTCCAAAAAAAAAAGATGATTTTGAGGTTTTCATTTCGTCTTCCTTTTTTTTTCAGGCATGTACTCTGAAGTAAAATATGATGGTGAAAGGGTACAAGTTCATAAAAAAGGCAGCGATTTTAAATATTTTACAAGAAATCTGAAACCTGTCTTACCTCATAAAATCAATCATTTCGAAGAATATATTCCAAAAGCTTTTCCTCATGGTAAAGATTTGATTTTGGACAGTGAAATTTTGCTGATAAACACAAATACTGGAGAACCGTTGCCATTTGGTACTTTGGGTGTTCATAAGAAAAGCGAATTCAAAGATGCTTGTGTATGTCTGTTTGTTTTTGACTGTATTTATTACAATGGGGAAAGTTTGATACACAAAACAATCAAGGTGAGAGTTACTCACAATTTGACTAACTTTCTACTAGTTGAGGCAAGACAAGTTTAATGTCACTAAGACATAACATTTTCGCTATACTTTGACTAGTTTTCTTCTAACTGTTGTCAATTCTGTCATTATTTATCTTATTCATAGGAAAGGAAGAAGATTCTTTCTGAAAACATGACAGAAATCACGAATCACATAGTATTTTCTGAAATGGAAGAAATACATGACCCCAAAGATCTCGCTAAAATGATAGCTAAAGTCCTTCAAATGGGTCTAGAAGGTTTGGTACTGAAAGGGCTGAACACCACCTATGAACCGGGAAAAAGGCATTGGCTGAAAATCAAGAAAGATTATCTGTTTGGTAAGCACAATCAAGATCAAACTTAGTGTAATTAATAAAATTGTAAACAACAATTACAACAACACATCAGTACGCAAAAACCTGTAACAAGCCACTATAATAATAACAGAAAATTAAAATACAAAAATGTACTAAATATACATACGCACAGCTATTAAGTATTGAAAATACAAACATACAAATGAAGCAGATTACATATTTCTCCTAAATAAAATAAAACAACATGACACTGAATTTGATTCAGATTGAAATTTGTGATCTAAAAATTTCTGTACCATATAAGGTTCCAAATCTATGAGGATATTCCTATTTTTAAAAATATTCAAATTATTTTATTTTCTTAAAAAAATTATACACGGGTAAGTGCGGTATGTCTGTGTCGAGGGTTATTGAGGCCACTGTGCTACCTTCAGATCTTTCATAAGCGCACTAATCCTTTTTGAGCTCTGAAAGCCCTGACAGTCACTGCCACCTCCCCAAAATATTCCATATCTGAAGATGGAATAAATGTTTACATAGTACACAATTTTAAGATGTTCAATGTCTGAATACCTGGACATAGTTCTAAAGGAATAACATGGTGAAGTGGCCCTTGTACAGACATTAATGATACAAACTTCCTTTATTCTACATTCAGCTTCGGCAGACAGTTGTGTTAAAAGCCGAACATCAGCTTCAGTTTCGGCCAAAAAATTGACCTACAGTCGAACCCTATTGGTGAGTATTTTATTGTTGAAACAGATATTTTATGCATAACTCTTGAGTATGCGAACGAAAGCTGAACAACTCTATTCAGAGTATAAGGAATATCCAAATAAGACAGCACAAAGCGCCCTCTATCACGAGGATAACCCACTGCAAAAGTGAAAACCTGCAAGCTGACTCTTGGAACTATATGTTAGTTCGAGAAGAACGAATATCGAAATCAGGAAGTTCTTTGGGGATGGTGATACTGTCCAAGAAATCAAAGCACAGCGACTGAGATGGGCTGACCACGTTCAAGGACTAAGTAACGATCTGTTGGTAAAGTTGATCTGGGAGGAAATATCAGCTGGTAAGAGACCTCTAGATCTCCCTCGTATAAGCTGGAGGGATAACATGAAGTCAGACCTATAGTCGGAAAAATAGACTTAAACTTTGACCCAGCAGTGATGGCAGACCACATCAGATGGAAGTAAATTGTGGTCAGCCAAAACGTACATAGGGTTGTAGTGCTGTTTGTAAATAATAAAAAAGTGATTTTTTGTAGGTGGAGCCATGGCCGATTCTGCAGACTTGATCGTTCTTGGTGCGTGGTACGGTACTGGTAAGAAAGGTGGTATGATGTCAATTTTCCTGATGGGTTGTTACGACCCACACACAAAGAAATTTCGAACTGTAACCAAGGTGCACACGGGACATGATGATCAAACTTTGGCGAAGCTGCAGGACGAGTTGAACATGGTAAAGATCAGCCAAGACGCATCTAAAGTACCCAGTTGGTTGAAGTGCACCAAAACTATGATTCCAGATTTGGTGGCGAAGGATCCGAAGAAACAACCTGTGTGGGAAATTACAGGTAGTGTTGCAATATTAACTACATATTTTTTACTCAGCAAAAAGCTTTTGTAGCAACTTGGGGCAGAAATAAAATATTCTACCTATCAGCCGTTCAAACCCGAAAATTGAAATTCTTAAAAAACGGCATAGCCACTAAAACTCCTCAGTCATTTGTATGCAGATATGTTCGTACTCAGCAGGTGTGCTTTCCTCATCACGTACCTTATAGTCTAAGAAATATAGCAAAATTTAAATTGAATAAATAATTGCTTAATTTTCTCAATCGTGAACTCACACTGTAAGCATCTTTTTATCAAAATTTATATCCTGAACGCCTGAGCATACCGTACGTTTTAATATTCCTCTGGCAAAATGGATAAAAGGGCATGCCATTTTTTTCGACTTATGACATCTGACGTATTCGTGAAGAGTACGCTTATAAGAACAATTCAATAAAATTGTATAAGATAGAGAGATATAAGATTGTATAGGGTCCGGCTCAAAGGTCGGGCGGTTTTTAAAATATCACAAAATCGGTAATTTATACTCATAAACAAATTTATTGACAGATTTGGATTCACAATGAAATAGCGTTTGCCACGATTAAGTGAGAAAAATCACCGCAGTCATGTAGTGACCATTTTTGATGATGCATTGCTGGAGGCGTTCTTGAAAGTTCGCGTAGACTCTGTCCAATATCGTTCTCTCAAATTGGGCGACTTTTACGCGAATTGCATCTTTCAGCTCATCTAAAATTCGGGGCTTGTGCTCGTATACACGAGCCTTGAGGTGTCCCCATAGGAAAAAAACGCAGATGGATAAATCTGGAGACTGAGGGGAACATCGCCAAACCTAGAAATAAGGCGACCACAAAAGAGAGGGCGAATAACGTTCATCGTTGCTCTGGCTGTGTGGACAGTCGCTTCATTCTGTTGGAACCACACACGTCGGAACGGAACACGTCGTCGTCGTAATTCAGGTGAAAAAAAAATTGGTGATCATATCCACATAGCGCTCCGAGTTCACGGTAACAGCAATGCCATTACCTTCGAAGAAGTAAGGGCCGATGATGCAACTTTGCGATACAGCGCACCAAACCGTCACTTTTGGGGTGCAGCGGTCTTTCATGTAACTGTGGCGGATTGACCAATAACGGCAATTTTGCTGGTGAACCATGCCGTTAAGATGACAGTGAGCTTCATCACTCATGAACAAAATTTTGTTCTCATTTGGCTTGATAAGTGCTTCCATCTCACGTGAGAAGTTCATTCGTTTTGCGTAATCTCCAGGCTGTAACTGTTGCGCAATGACCAATTAGTAGGGGTGAAAGTAAGTTCCATATGCAAAATACGCCTTACCGAACGATCACTAAGGCCAAGTTCAGCAGCATGTTGCCGCGCAGATTGAGCCGGACTGCGAAGGAGAGCTTGTCGAACGCGTTCTACATTTTCAGGGGTTCGAACCGTTCGTGGAACTGCTGGTGGTCTTTTGTTGATCAGTACACCACGTGTGCGAAGTGATTGAACCCAACGAAGGATGGTGTTTTGAGAAGGAACATCTCGATTCCGATGAATATTGTGGCGAAGAAACTCACGCTGTACAGCCGTGATAGACTCATTATATCGAACAAAACTGTCGTACGCGAAAACGCGGTGCTCAGCCGACCACTGATCCATAGTGTCTTCTGGTAAAAATGCTAGAAACGCCCGAGTCGAACGGCACTCTCCCCACCACTCTCGCCCGAATAGACGGAGAGTAGTAGCCATTTCAAAAACATCCGTAATTTGTGCGGGACCCTTTATGAAGGAACGGCCATTAAAATCACAATCAAAATTGGGACTAGGATCAAATTCGTCTTGTCTCCTTAGTAAAAAACCTCAAGTTGATTTCGTATAAGTTGAAAAAATTGACTTGCACCTGGAGAGTTGATTTTTTTCCAAGTAGGCTATGGCTCCATTTAACAGCAATAATTGTAAAAATGACGCAATTATTTTCATTGAAATGTAAATTTTTAGCAATTTAAATTTAGATTTTTTTTTAGAGTAAGATAATTCCGTTTTACTATCATGCAACTACAATACTTTCTCTACAGAATAAGCACCAGCCAACAATTGTTGGACTTCCCTGAGCTGTAGAATAGATAAAAACAATTTTTTCAAAAAAATGCAATAAAAACAAAAATTCAAGATATTTTGAATTAGGCTTTATTGTGCTTTAATACCGTCTCAGAGGCCTGAGCACATATTCGTCACTGGGCTAGAGGACAGTGTCGTGTGAATAGAGGTAATCAAGGTAAATAGTGTCAGATTGTTAGTGGTTTTATTGCAATAACTTGAAAATTCTTTACACGATTTTGGTGTTCAAAATTTTAATCTGTGAGTGTTTTAGGGCTTAAAGAAAGGGGCTGTTCATGGGCTTAGTGATAAAATAACTTGGTAAAAAAATAAAAATTGACTTTCAACACTAAACTGTTCACACGTTTTTACCTTATAATTTGTCCAATTGTCTTATGTATTATTTTTTATCTATAGTATTGTATTTTCTATATTTTAGGAGCAGAATTTACAAAGATACACGACGTCCATACTGCAGACGGAATATCTATAAGATTTCCGAGAGTGACTCGTATAAGAGATGACAAAGACTGGGAATCAGCTACTAATCTCGACGAGTTGAAACGGTTATATAAAAACTCCAAAGAAAATACTGATGTCAGTAAATTGTTAGGGGTTGATGATAATGATCATAGTGATGAACCACCTAAGAAAAAGAAAAAGAAAGGCACAGATAAAGGTAGGAAATTATTTATTTTTCGATTCACGTGTATTCATTGTTATTATCATGGGATAGGAATACACTGTACACTTATATCTTAATTTTTGGACCTGTTGATCACAGTAACGAAAAAAAAAATTTCTACAGAGCAACGACTTCTGAGTCAAACCATACTGATTCTAAAAGATACATTTGCTTTTTTTGCAGAGTCTAAAGAGAAATCATCTGAGACTGAACCTATGGAGGTGGAAAATACTAGTATACAAAGTGATACAAGTGCTTGCACAAAATCAGAAACGTCAACCATAAGTGACCTACCAGCAGAAGAGCTAGTTGTGTCTGACAGTAAAAAGTACTTTAAAGGTGTCAAAGCATTACTTGAGGCTGAACTTAAGAAAGAGGAGTACAGATATATAATTAGGTAACACTTGCGATACATTTTGAGAATGTAGTAAAATTTGAATATTTTTGTCCAACTTTATTGAGATGTAATGTTCTTAAAAGATGTTTCTTTTTTCACTATGCAATAACAAAATTTAGCAATCTATATGTACTTTGAGGTCATCAGAAATCATTGTCTTTCAGAAAATTTGAGAAACATGGTGGCATCATCTTGCCGAAAGACAAATGGGAAAATGCAACTCACGTTCTACACTATCTAAGCAATGTAGAAGCACCGAATGTTAAATGTCCAAACACTGTAAAGCATGTGTTTATTCGTTGGGTACAAGACAGTATCACCAAAGAAGCTTTACAGGATTATAGATTATATCATGTACTTTGGAATCCTAGCGATTAAAAAATGAAAAATGGTACCCTTATTTTTCATATCCCAGTTTTGGAAGTCATGAAGAGAAAAATTGAGCTGGTTTCTGAAGTGTCTAATCAACTAGGAGCTTGAATATATACATTTTTATTCATACCAGTGAATGTGTGCATTTTTTGCTATTCTGATTTTATACTTTTGAAAAAGCTGAGCTAAAGTTGAAACATACAAACCTGTATTTGATTTTATGTTCATTGAAAGACTGTTTGATTTTGTTTCCTGCTGCATTCCTTTTAACATTAGGGTAGGGATCTGTAAATTACTTCATCAAAAAGTAAAAGGATTTGGCTGTTTTCTTATTATGAGTGTACTTTTAATAAGTATTAAAGTATTTATGTTCATGAAACTGTAATTGTGCATGCAGTGGGTTATTTAATAATTTATACATGAAAAGTTTAGTTAGTATCAGATTGTTTTATTTCACTGGATAGTAACGCGGTGCAACAAGTATTATTTTTTGAATGGATCAAGTTAGCAAACTGAAAATTCGAGGTGATGCAATTGATCTATGAATACTATATTTTTATATTTTCGCGTAAAAGTGGCAATTGAAAGCTTTAAGGTGGCGGTATCTTTGAACATTTTAATCAATAACTTTGATAAGTATTTACAATATAAAATCGCTATCTTTCAAAAAGGCGGAGTCCCTCAATCAGCTACTCCAAAAGGGGGCGGCAAACTGCAAGGAGCCGGTAGGTCTGGAAATATCGGTAGAAAAGGTTAGTGAGGCATTAACGGCCGCCTACCATGAGAACTGTCGTGAAAAAACGGTCCTTAACAGGTCCAAAACTGTCTGGTGGACAAATCACCTTGAAAGCCGTAGGGCAGAGGTCGAAGACCCCAAGTCTGTGCAAAAGAGCTAATAGGGAATGAGACTGCAAATCAGTCGACCGCCATCGGCTCGGATAGCCAGGCAGCCATAAAGGCATTAAATTCATCGCAAATATCGTCCAAACTAGTATGGGATTGCGTGAACACTCTCAAAAAGCCGGGAAACCGCAGCAAGGTAACTTTACTCTGGGTACCAGGACATTAAGGGCACAAAGCAAATGAAAAGGCGGATGAGCTAGCCCGACAAGGTGCGGCTAATCGCCTTATAGGACCAGAGTCCATAAGAAATTGGACAAAAAATCCCTAGAATGGTGGAACAGCCAATTGGGGCAAACGCAGGCAAAAGTGTTCATCGGAGAACGAAGGCCCGTTTTTACAGAGGACCTACTTGGACTCAATAGGAAGGCCAAATGCCGTTTTTTGCAGAGAGGGGCTACAGTTTCAGATAGTAGGAACCACAGGTCCAACAGCGGAAAGCTTATATAGGGGGGTCACAATAGATCCACTTGGGTCGCAATAGATCCACTTGGGTCGCGGTGACGTTAAGGCTGGCAAGCCAACCCCTCGCTACTGTAATCTGTAAATGGCAGAGTGGCATACTGTCAAATTTGAGCGTGTTTATACTTTAAATACCTTATCACTTAACCATCAATCACCAAAACGGTATTATATTATGTTATATCAAACTTCTTCTTCTCTTGGAAGGATCTATCCGAAAATATCGAACATCGTGTTTTAAAAAATCGTCAAAATCCTTTGTGCCGTATTTTAGTGCACCCTTCCAAAAGAAGATTGATTTAACGTACTATAAAGTTTCGCTGAAAAAGTTGTCGAGTCATAAGCGATTCAATGTACATAAATGCTCAACTTTCACAGCCTGCTAGGAAGATCAAAATGAGATACCACATGACCATTGTTTTTCAATTAAAATATTGAATTGCATCATCCCAAGCTTTTATCTTGTTAACTTGCTCGATTAAAAAAATAAGTAGGGGGTGGGGTTTTTAAGAATAACTGTATATAAAAAAGTGTTTTTACTAGGTACTGACAGAACAACCTTATGTTCGGGCAAGCACGGAGTCGAGAATCATAATAACAACGTCAAGGAAATTGCCCTCATAGTCAACGAGATAGTGCGACTTATGTAAATAATTCAGTGATCCGTGTTTTTCTCCAAAAACATCATGTCATTCAAAAAAAAGTTGTATATATTTAAATTTCATCCATCGATTCGGAGCCACTAAAAATTCTTCAAATCGTTACGTTGCTTCTCCTATAATGTAGGTTTGGTACTATATATGGGACATGATTTCAGTGTAGGTATTTCGTCAAACAATAAGGTCGCAGAGACAATCCCATCGTAATTTGGACACGCCCTAACATTTTCCGGGGTTTTAATTAAATAATTTTTCTAATGACCCATGACGTCCAGTAATTAATTAAATTAAGCTTTTATCTAGGTATCCGTTCGTATGAAACGTATATGAGGATATGGTGAATGAGATTTGTTTTCGCAGTTTTTCGGAATAGATACTCTCTAAAAACACGTAGTATTTTAATGTAGAAGAGGAAGTTGGAATCAAATTTCATTTATCGTATAATACGTCCACAGATTATTTGATGGTTATTTGTGTATTGAGAGTGGAAGTACTTAGGCAATGTTCGTGCAAAGATGAGTTTAGAAATGTGGAGAGCCCCAGGACGGTAAGCGCGTTCTGGTCGAGATATAATTAGGTAAAAGTAATTAGCCACAAAAAGACAATATAAGATTGGCACCTACCTGGATGTTCCTGTCGCCTGGCCTGAAGGAGTTCCTCTCTAGTCACAGCTTCTTAGGTCACCACACGTGTCTTGGCGAGTTCGGTATCGAATCAGTGTTTATAACTCAGTTTTTGGTAGATTTTTTTGAAAGGTACACGTTGCTTTCCCAATCTTATCGAGTTGACTACTAGATGCTTCGTCTTCTTGTGCGCATGTTTGACTTGCATGCGCAAGTGCCAAAAAGTTTGAATTTGTATGGCGTTTGCATTCAAATAATGAAATATAGAACTTACATGAACAGCAACGATTTACCATAGAAGATTTTAACAGCCGTAGCTTATTATGTCATATTATGACGATATCTGAAGGGGGAGCTAACGCAACAAAAACTAGCAAGCTACTTGGTCACTCTAGAGTGATAAAGCTTTCATTTGCGATAAGCATTTGGAAAACTTTTACTTTGCGTGCAGTATTGCGAACAATATCTGGTATTTTTAGAAGCTTTAATTTATCTTGACCTGTTTGTATGTACCTATGTGTGGAACAAATCTTGGAACTGAATTTTGAATCAGTTAACTTTAATCAATTCAGCCAAAATTTGGTACAAACGTCTGGTCTGCGTATCTGTTCCCATTTTGAATCCAATATGGCGAATGCTACAATATGCCGATTTATCATTTCCATAGTCACCCCAATATCATGGATATCAATTGAAATGGCGATTTACATATTCTATAGTCACCCATACGACATGGGTATCAAATCATAGGGCTTGATAAGAGAAACGCAATAAGCGTAGTGACGCCATTCAAAATCAAATATGGCGACCGACACAAAAATTTTGATTAACAATTTTCACAGTCACAACTATGATATGAGCATTAAATATCAGGGCTTGAAGAAAGGAACGTAATAAGCAAACTGGTACCATTCTAGATGCAATATGGCGGCCTCAGCAAAATGGCCATTTACATTTTTCATAGCACCCCTATGATATGAGTATCAAATAAACGGGCTTGATAAAATAAATGTAAATGTAAATGATCGGAACCTTCCTACTTCTTTTCACAGTTATTGGCGTAATAAAATATACGAAATGCTAAAAATAAAATACAATTATGTAGCTTGTGCTAAGGGTAGATACCAGAAAGTAAACAAGAAGAACAACACTTATTACCCACTTCATGTAAGCTGAAGCACCCATGCCACGGTTATCGATGACTTTGATGACGTTATCGCAAAAAAATTGTGAAAAGAACTATATGGCCAATTAATCTTTGCTGAAAAGGTTGGCCTTGGAAATCAATGCAGATAAAAACGTAAAAGAGACTGCTTTGCGGCCATCGTTGCCGGCCCACTATCACTGGAATACATATTTCCTTTCATTCACTCCTGGCCTACTCAACTCTCGGTATAAGAAACCCGGACTCCCTGTATATCCTACCGGAATTGCGCAATAGATCCGCTAAGGACTGCGCGGCGCGGCGTTTAAAAAGCGGCGACACATCGCGATTCGCGGTCCAATCTTTTCGCTGGTGTCGCATCGCTGACATCGAGTCGAGACTCTTCTACTGCTATTCTTGCTCTTGCTGCTATTGGCGGTGCTCATCAGGAAGCAGACTACCTCTTTGCACTGCTATCAGTTTTCGCAGATATCCGGAATGGTAAGTACTAGATACGTTGAATATCTGGAGATTGCGCTTTCCAAAAGAAAAAAAAACAAAACAAGGGTGCATATGTTCAAATTCTCATTCACGTACACATTTTTTTACAGCTTATTCTCAACAACATAATTGTTGTATATATAAAACTATCCAGGACTTCTTTGACAGCCTATTATTACCGAAGTTCTCTCTTCATTTTCCACAAATTCTTTGAAGCGATCATGTATTGGATGTCGAAAGAGTGAGAATAATTTTAATTTCAATAGCCGCCACCTCGTATTTTAAAATGCATCTTACTTAAATGAGCTTAGTAAATTTTTAACGAAGTTTGAGGTTTCCAAACAAAATTGCTCCATCATTTTTCCATGCTTTTAAAGCACGTTAATATTTAGGTTGTGCTTTAGCGTATGCTTTAACAACACTTCAGATTTATTCGTTTTGAAGATGCTCGAATATTTTGGATAACACATTTCCGTTCGCAATTAATGAGACATTCTTATATATTACATTTAGTTGTGATCCATAATATCGATCTTTTGATATCATAAAGTCTAAAAATTAAAAAAGAGGCTGTATGTAAAAGTTTATTTTGCCAGTGATCTATAAAAATAAAATGTCATCAGGACCTCGAAATATACCTACTTTGGTGAAATGCTTAAAAACTAAGGCCGTTTTTGTTGTCAGCAGAGTAGCTAGTACAAACTGAATCTCCCATTTCATATGTACTTATATTTATTTCTTTTGGATCATTATTCAAAAAATGTATATCTGATAATCAGTAAAATTTCACATTTATTATAAGACACAGAAAACCCAATTTTAGCATATAAACTTGTTTTACGCGAGAAGAATATTTTGAACAACATTGCAAATTTGACAAAAATAATAAAAACATTTAGTATCGCCCTGAAGAAGTATAGTTACGTAAACCAAATCTGCAACTTTGTAAAAAGAATCCAAATATACTACTACTATGGAAAATATACTTAGTGACAAAAATGATTTTATTTGAATAAAATTTTGTATAATATTAGATAAGCAAGATGGATTCGTGATTAAACTTTAATCATATTTACCGAGTGCCTTTTTTTCTATGTAACTGTGTATATAATATAGGTATCCGGAACCAAAGACCACCTACGGTGAAGTCGGGAGGTTCATTGACAGTAAGAGACCGACAGACACGGTAATCAAACCACAAGGGTATTTTCAAAGATAATCTCTGCGATCACAATATTTTTCGATTACTTACGCAAAGTATGTACCCTCAACTCATCAGTTCTATAAAACTCAAATTCAATCGACACGAATGCACCAGTAATCTATTTTTCCTCCTGTGGTCATATCCAAGCTCAGTGAACCATCTTATTGGGCCATTTATAAAGTTTAATGCCTTCTGTGAACTGGAAAAAAACAATCAGATCTCTGTTTTCCGGATCAGTGGAGCGTCTGAACAGTATGACTTTACTTTCCAATTATACATATAATAATCATACCTAGTTTTTATTTTTGCTAGGCTTTTAAAATAAGATTTATAATGGCCTACCTGAGGAACAATGTTTGTGAGAATTAAAAATATAGATACGCAATAAGTTTTTTAGTAAAAAGTTCTATATGTTTTTTTACAAACTGTATAAACCTCATCCATTACAAGTCATCAGATAATTTAAAAGACATATTTTTTTGAGTTGGGTCAACTGTATCAGTGTGTGTAAAATTGTCAACAGTTACCGCAAGGTATAACAGGGGCGTAACAACCAACGTATCAGCCGTCTTAATGATACGGGACCCACACTTACAGAGAGACACCGATGTGTGAAAGATAAAATGCGTAAAACTTATTGAAAACCTGATGTAGTTTTTAGGAAATATGCCAAACTATAAATTCTCAAGCGCTAAATCATTAGATCGTATGGCCAGGTCGTAATACCGTGCTTGGAAGTTTTTGACACTCCAGATTGCAACTGCATCAGCTAAGAGAAGCTTTTCCAAATTAAAGGTAATTAAATCAATTTAGAACTTCCCTTAAACAACTTTTACTATAAAACTTATACTGTCTTTAGATACAGAAAAGTTCGAAGCACAAAAATCATCTTCAGCTATGAATGATTTAATAAAAAGGTTTTCCGAATAAATAGTGTCAAGTAGATTGACTCGGTAGTTTCCACGTATTCACATATGCCTATTTTCAAATGTTCTTTACGTAAAATCCTTGGCACACAAATGCTGTTGATGTATCATTATTTGTACTCCATAATAATGTTTTTGACTAAGCTCTATTCTGAACTAATCAGAATCGCCGAAAGCAAATTGGCGGAATTGTAACTTTTCAACAAAAATTTTAATTACTCTCACAAGGTTTAAGGGCATAAAAAAAGTTTGGAAATCATCTGAAACTTTTCTAGCGCTGCAACAATTTTAAAAAGTTGCAATCCCACCTTAAGATGCTGCTCTTCAAATTTGATCCAAATCGGTGCAGCGATTCCGGTGATTATGAGAGTAAGATAAAACCAACACAAACATAGCAAAAAAAAACAACACACGCAAAAAAACACTTGAAATTCTAAAATGTTCGCAGCCGCAGTAGGTACCACCTTTTCTTATGGGTCGAGAAGTAAAGAACATAAAAGGCGTATATTCTTTTTCCCATCTTAGTGTGCTAATTGTAAAGATGAGTACGTGGATGCTCATACATATTATTTAATGCAAAGCGTATTTGTTTGTTTTGTGAAGAATTTTCACCTCGATGTTTAATCTCCATTTGGATTTAGTTATTACTGGAAGGGACCCCCTATAAATTTTGATATGGGGACCTCAGGAGCTAGGTACGCCACTGAGCAATATTTAAGTTAATCAAGTATACTGACTTTCATTTGGCAAAAAGAAGGACTGATGAATCTCTAGTTCTCAACGTTGTAACTCCGGTATAATCGTAAAATAATAGTAGAGCGGCATTATACATGAGAAGTTCTTGTTATCATAATGATAGTCACCAAGTCATTGCTTAGATATTTGTTAAGTTCATCCAGAAACCTCGATGTTTCGAAATTTTTATAGCCAAAGCATCCCAAAATACCGCAGGTTTGTAAACTATGGAACTGATGTAGTATTATTATCAGAAATACAAAAATATAGTATTTATTTATTTACAAAAGAGACAAACAATACTGACATTATAATTATAATAAATATACCAATAATTTATAACTATCATTCTCAGCTAGGCAAGTTAAATTATAGAAGTATCTAAGTGACTTCTTGTGCTCATGTTATCAAACATATTTTATGTAATATGAAGGATTAAAAACGATTGAATTTCCAAAACATCAATATAACATGGAAAGTTCCAGATCATTACCTAACCCTCTACTAATGTTGATAATTTTATTTTAGTATATATTATTTTATGAACTTTGCAAATGTCTTCCTGGTAATAGTATTCCTTATTTGATAAATAAATTTTTGATAAAGTACATTTCAAAAACTGGTGACTTATATCCCTATTACATCTTGGTATTGTTACAAATTCACTCGATATACTGCATACTATCCAGAGGTAACATAGTTGAGGTTAAGTTTATTTTTATCTTTTGAATATAACAAACATCTTTTATATGGTATGATAGTCTTTACTTTTTTGTATATGACTTTTAAGATGTAATTCTAAGTAACATTCATTTCCAACGTAGACCTCGATATAATTACGTCTTTTGCTTTCTCTAACCCGTTGCCAACCCTGGATTCCAAAAAGGTGGAAACCGCAGTTCATCCAACTTTAGATTTGTGCTTGCCAAGCCGTCTTGGTTTATTTCTATTCAAATTTGGCATTCCGTCGTTGAGGAGACATTCTTTGAAATTATTTTTAGAATAAGTACGGATACTTTACCACCTTAGTCATGGTGTAGTGTTCTTATAACCAATGTGGATATACGATATACGAAAGACTAGAATTCTTCTAGGTTGAATTATTTTTAAAGAAGTTTGTTAATTCTTTTATTATTTACCTTACATAGGATAGTGTGAAACTAGCAACTGTCGAGTCAAAGTTTAGAATAACGATTCAAAAGATAACATCAGATCACTGGAGAATCAGTTGGTTTGAAAATTTAATATACATACACTATTGTAAACCATATGTCGTCCTTTGTTTAATCATTAATCACGCTGAAACATTTTTTATATCAGGTTGAAAATTGTGTTATATTCTAAATAATAATATCCCCCAAATTCTATTTTTCAGATAACTTCAACTTTCTTGGAATAGAATAAACTTCGATTTTACTCATTTCAAAGGAAAGTATTAAACGCTCATTTGTCTAATTGAAGCAGAAGTTAGATATACATATCGCAATATTAATGTCTCAAGTAGTCGGAATATGGTAATTCGTTTTTTGTACGCATGCAATTTGTTGCTCGGTTATCACCAACGCCAGACCGCTACAAGTATAGTTTATAGTTATCGACTGATCCATAGTAAAGTTAATGTTTTTCAAGTGGATCAAGAAATAACAGCGATTTCTTTATTTTATTTGCAGTCACGGTCATTAGAATACAGATTGATTCAAAATATCTCAATCCCTCAAAATATTAACTCGTTTCATTTCAATCGTTATTATTTATTCGCAACATCATGTTTCAGTTTTACACTGTACTCTTACAGCGACTTCGTCACTGGTAATGGCAATAGGAGAGATAGCGCATTCGACCCTCATGATTACTTGTGGACTAAAATTATAATACAATTGTTACTAATTAACTAATTAATAGTTGTTTCAAAGCATATAGCGATACGCATTTGATTCTATTTTAAGTGAACTTTTAAGCTACCAAGTTTAAAATAGGTCTGAAAGAGAATTCAAGTGTCAGTCTCCCGAAATAATTTACAAAATACGCCAAAAACCACACAGAAAATAGTTTCAAACCATTTCTTGTGAATCACATGATAAGGAAAAAACTAAAAGCTTAGAATGCTTGTACAAAGATCGGGCGCTCACATAATAAATAGTAACAATTAATAACAAATTACAAATTTCATGCTATATTGCTTTTACAATTTTTCCGGATTATCGAATAAACGAAGTAAGGTTGTTGCGGACATTCGCATCCCCGTCCGTAATAGGGATTATGCATGATCTTTTTTTTTTTAATTTTCTGTCGATTATTTTCGTTAAAATATTAACCGTAAACACATCTCATTATTGGAAATGCCTGTATTTACATTTAATTAAATATTTAAAACTGCAATGCCAATGACGTTGATTTAAATGAGGCATTTTTGGCTCGATTCGCAGTGATGTCATAACCCACAAAATTTCGTATCATTGTCTTTTTTATTAATTTGCTGTCCAGTTGAGAACATTATAAGTATCTGCTACCTATGTGCAAATATACGATACGGAAAGTACCGGGTAAAGTATTTTTTTATATTCCCAGAGATTACTAAGATGAGAGTGCACCAAGTGCAGTGGTGCAAAGTTATGGAAAGGGATAATATTAAAAAGTTATTCATATTTTTGCGAAGATCATTTTAACGTAAGTACAGAACACAGAACTGCCATTTTGTCCAAATATGATTAGTTTTTAATTTTCTTAGATTGCAAAGATTACGTATATTTTTTCCACTTGCCATTTAAAGAAGATAATTCGATAACAGGTCCAATGTTATTTGACAATCAGTGACAACGAGAACAAAGGCCTGGCATGTTGAATTTGACTGGTCAATTTGGAAGGGTTGGCTAGTCACAACTCAAAATGGTGGCGTCACGCCAGCGGCGGAATATTATTGATTCAGAATGCTATAGAATTGGATATGCTTTTTTTTATTTTAAATGGCTCAATTCACAATTTTATATAAAATCTTAAGATGTGAGCCCCTCTGCCAAGTAATCTGCGTCCACAGCATCCCTGAAAAAGACCTACCGACACGGAAAATGATTCGCCTAGCTGTACTGCGGTGTGTACAGTAATCAAAATAAATACTTACCCCGCCTATTGCCATAGGAAGCAAAACGTCGCAACTGCATGATGAATGGCATCATCTTGGATCGGATACATAATTTCCATGGTCTTGGCATCTAAAAATAAATATCCTTATTGAAGCATATAACAGGCACGCTTCGAAGGATGTATTTTGAAAGAAAAAAGGAAATTGTTTTTAGGTCGTTCACTCGATCGTTGTAACCGTTTCTGCACAGCAGCAAATTATGCAGGCTCTATAAACAATTTCCGATCAAACCCGCTGCTTTTCATCTTGCAATCACTTTAATTAATTCCTATTTCGATGGTACTCATTAATGCACCGTCAGTTGTTTTTAATATGTATTTTTTTGTATTTAGAATATGTACAATTTTAATTAGTAGACGAGTTGCGTACAGTAACTGACGGAACCTCAAACAATTCAGAAATTCTTATACAGTGAGGTTAAAATTTCGCTGATGTCGTAATGTAGATGAGAGAGATGAGATATTAGAAAAAGTGCGCGGATGGCAGCGTGGCAAGCCACGGCTGCGTCTGTGGACTCGTCACTCAGGTTGCTAGGCAACGAGGTGCTTCTATCGCTTTCTGACCGACGTATTGCACGCTTCTCACGCTTCTCTCTGTTTCGCATTACCAAGTCACTGGAGATGTTTTCACTGTATGATAACAGAGCGATACCTTCCCATCCTTACGAGATGCTGTTTATTGTGGAAAACGGAACAACTGGAGAATGGTTGGTTTAACGTTTCTGACAGCAGTAGCAGGTTAGGTATTTTGTCAGTTAGTCGTCAGTTTTATTTATGTCTAGAATTTTCGATATATTTCGGGAAGCTGTTAAACTACTTTTTTCTAGGAAGTTGATCTTCACGTGCTATTTGGTATTCTAGTTTCCGAAAAACCATACCGTCGCATACATATAAGATAAAGAAAAAGGTTCAGGGTTTATTTATAAGGATATGAAATATCACTCTTAATATAGGAGATCTATTTGGGAAACTTTTACAAAAGTATTCACATATCTTCTTTGGAGCAATATATAAATGACCGCAAAACTGTCAACGATGAGCTTTAGACTAACAAAAAAAAATATTGGAATATTTACTACGTATAAGCTTGTCTCCAATTTCTGATAGCTTCAGTGCACTGATTTTAGAAAGCGATTTGCTACGAGATAGTGAAGGTAATGCAGATATACTCTTGAAGTTAGAGTTATTTGTAAAACATTCAGTCAGTCGTCCCTACAATTGTAGGGCGCGTTTATGGCCTCCTTGATTGTCATACTCCTTTCTCTCCTTCAAACATTTCTAGATTACACTTGTCCCGTGTCAGCGTCAGCGTTCTCCTATTGTGAAGGTATGTTTTCTTTTTAAATTGTAGGAAATTTCAGGCTGATAAAACATGATATAACTCAAAAGCAAGCACAATTTGATGCAAATAGATGTTTGTGACACAACCTCAAAATAGAGCGCTGACACGGAGAAGTAGAAAACTATGACAATCAAGGAGGCCATAAAGGCGCCCTACAATTGTAGGGACGACTGACGATACGGGCCTAAATGCTTTCTATGAATCCATATACTTAATTCCAGAATATCCATTCGCACGAATCGAAAATCTTCGATGCGTAATAAGGCGGCGACTCACTGAAGCCGAGCGCTGTAATGTAACGAAACGTATACAAAAATTCGCTAGTGAATCGCTAAAGCCGCGTACAGACCGAAAATCCAACCCCGAGGAAAAGAATGCAAGCACATGTGACGTTCGCTTTGTTGTGGGAAGGTATTGGAATGCGCTCGTCTACACGTCGTCTACACTTAAATTTTGTTTCGAGTCGAACCGACTCGGGTTAAGTTCGGTGCTAATATCGAGCGACGAGTCTCCTCTCATCGAATGCAGACAAACGACTAAATACTAGAAGCGCAACAAATCCTGTCCAGACCAAATCAAACCTCCCTTTGACGTACCGGTCAAGGAGCGAACGCTATCGAACCCCGACCTTGGAAAGCGTTGGCTTATGTTGGCTTAAAGCCGTGTACCGACCGAGATTCCAACGCAAGCCAATGCACGTGTGGTTACAGATTTGGAGGTGTTCGAATCGGTGTGTACGGCGCGAGCTAACATAGGCCAACGACTTCCAAGGTCGGCGTTGGCATTCGATGTCGTTCGCTCCTTGACCGGTCCATCAGAGGGTGGTCTGATTTGGTCTGGACAGGCTTTGTTGCGCTTCCAGTATTTTGTGGTTTGTCTGCATTCGATGGGAGAAAACTCGTCGCTCGACATTAGCACCTATCTTAACCCGACGCGGTCCAACTCGACACTAAATTCTAAAGTGTAGACGAGCGCATTCCATTACCTTCCAACAACAAACTCCAACGTCACATGTGCTTGCATTCGTTTGCTCGGCGTTGGATTTTCGGTCTGCACGCGGCTTAAAGCTAGCGCCGAACAGGTGTCAACTAGTTCGTCTGTGAGCACAGTCTCTGAAGTCTTCTTTTGTTAGTTGAGATAGAGCTCTGAATACACGTTATTAATGCAGCGGCCCCTGGAGAAAACTTTATTTTTTAATGACTTATATCGTACTAAAAGTATACTATGGGATCCGCAACAGGCGGAATATTATAACAAAATCAAGAAACATGATGGGTGGCAACAGCTCTTCGATTTTTAAGATACTCATTAATGTCGCACGTAGGTCTGGCACTTTGACACAGAAGTGCAGCAGAAGAATGGAGCACTTTTGAGTCGAGCTTTCCAAGTGAACATTCGCTGGACTTCAATCACGACCTTTGTAATGTAACGCTCGATGTGAGCACTACATTACAACGCTCGGCTTCAGTCGCCGCCTTAAATCCTACATGAGTATCCTTATAGCAATACGTAACTAAAACTGAGCTTCACTTCATTCAACACTACAAGTTCTTGTACTCCATTTTTTACTACGCCCTAAAGTGATCAGCATCTTGAAAATGTAGATAGATATCGAATATTTCAAAACTTCTTACTCGTCTAATTTTTTTGTCTACGTCCAAAAGTTATCAAATTTACAAAATATGTTTAAGCGGAAGTCTGATTTTTTTTGTTTTTTGCTCGTAATTCTGCTACCACTTTCAAAAATTAGTTACCAAATTTATAACTCCGTAAATGTCGACTTCTAAATTTCATCATCTCCGTTTTTGAGATTAAGCAAATAGAAATTGCCAAGCGGCAGACTGAAGAAAATAGGGTTCTGGATTATGTAGTTAAGAAACATCTGAAAAACTTGTTAACTGAAATCGACAAAGGCGATCAATACACATTCATTGTCTACGCATGGGAAATGGTAATGTACAAATACCTGAATATTCGTCTTGTATTTTTGAGAATAGTCAAAGGATGTTTTATATTTTTTTTAACATAGAACCTTACTTCACATAAGATTTTCCAGTTCCATATCATTTCAAGATTCGGTCGAAATTAATTTCTTTGGGTATAATTGAATATATCAGTGAAACAATGCAAAAGATTGAGCCTCAAAATAAACGTGGTCTGCTGTGAGAGACCGAAGCCTAGACCATGCTGAGCAGTAGACAAAAAGCATGATACATATTATGTCCATGGTTGGATGTAAATGGTTGGATAGACGAAAGCAGAGGATTTTTATTTTGTTCAATGGCAAGTAGACCACATCTACTACACAGCTGGAATCGCCGCCATCTAGCTGTCATGTGGAGACTGGGCCTCCAATTCGGGGACTGAAATTGTAGTAATGTAATCGCGCAAAATTCCGACAATCAGATACTTTGCTTTTTGAATGACGAATAATGTGTCAAAGCTCAATATCTTCGTTACTATTAGAATTGCAGAAAAAAGATAAATATAAAAGCTGTAGGCAGAGCTAAGGGCTACAAATTAAAATTATTTTTAGCTATTCATCATAAATTAATGGCAATATAAACTTGTATCTTTTTAAACAGGACACCCTGTATTTCTGTTGATTTTTAGAAGCACCTTATCTTGGCCATTCTGCCAATGAATGGTTTCGGGGGTTTGTACTGGGTAGTTCGGAATATATTGCCACTTTTTCGTTCAATTCGTTAAACATTTGAGTTTCCGTATCTCAAACAACACTTTAGATACAATATGTTTTATTATACTGAGTGATGGAAACAGTGGTAGACATTCATATCCAACGTTTTTTCTGCACATATTTCATTCGAGACATACAGGGTGAAACAAAAATATGTAATTTTCACAAAAAATTTAAATTGCAGAAAAAATATAAATATAAAAGCTGTAGGCAGAGCTAAGGGCTACAAATTAAAATTATTTTTAGCTATACACGGTGTCTCATAAATTAATGGCAATATAAACTTGTATCTTTTTAAACAGGACACCCTGTATTTCTGTTGATTTTTAGAAGCGCCTTTTCCTGGCCATTCTGCCAATGTATGGTTTCGGGGGTTTGTACTGGGTATTTCGGAATATATTGCCACTTTTTGTTTTATTATACTGAGTGATGAAAACATTGGTAGACATTCATATCCAATGTTTTTTACGTGCATGTTTCAACCAAGGCATACAGGGTGAATCAAAACGGAAATTTTCTAGAAAAATTTAAATGCAGTTTATTAGGAATTCCCTATACCTTAACCTAGTAATTTTTTGAGATATTCCATGCTTTATAAGTGAAAACCATAATAATATTGTAATTATTAGGAAAATATAGGTTGGCCATGCATTTTTGACAAACCTGTCATCGTAAACTTCAGTAGTAGAGTTTTGCTTGCATTAGTTTCGCTTAGAACTAAAATGAATTTTTCAACACAAGAAATGGTTGATATGATTTATGCGCTAGGAGCAAGTGTCAAAAATTCTTTATTGGCAATAAGATCGCATGATCAACGTCACCCAGACAGAAAACAACCGTGTATGAAAACTCTCGATAATTTTTTACGGAGCGTTCCGAGCATACAGCAAGTGTGGCATATGAGAAGAAATAAAGGGTGAAACCAGTTTGACAGGCAGAGAATGTGTTTCAAGTTATGCTCCGCATAACTGAAGATACCCATGTAATTGTTCGGCGTATTTCGAAAGATTTAGACATTAACAAATCATCCG